CGAGACCGATCGTGCCCCAGCCGCTCTCGTCTGCCACCTCCCAACCGTCTGTCGTGCACTCACTGTCCCGCGCGGCATCGTTCTTGTACCCCAACTCTGCTTCCCACGAGCAGAGCCTGGATATCACCCCTCCGCCATCTCTGTCTTCGAGTTACCAGGGCGGGCACCGGTTCATCTACGACCCCGAGTCGGAGTTCGACCATCTGTACGTCGCGTACGAGGGCGGGGGTATCCACGACGACGACATCTACGCGCTGGCGACGATGCAGGTGCTGCTCGGGGGCGGGGGGTCCTTCTCTGCGGGAGGGCCGGGCAAGGGGATGTACTCGCGCCTGTACACTCATATCCTCAACTACTACCCGCAAGTGGACCACTGCCAGTCCTTCAACCACATCTACACGGACTCGTCGTTGTTCGGTCTCTTTGCTACGTTCGTTCCGGGCGGAGAACGGGGTGGAAACTCGCCGACCCAGATTCTGCCGCATCTAGTGCACCAACTTTCGCTGCTGCTCCACACGCCCGTGCCGGCTGCCGAGCTGAGCCGGGCGAAGAACCAGCTCAAATCAGCGCTGATGATGGCATTGGAAAGTCAGGCTGTGGAAGTCGAGGATCTCGGCCGTCAGGTGTGTATCCTTCCTGTTACTTGTTATGCATATGTCGCTAAGCCTTGGCAAAGATGCTGGTCCACAACCGCAAGATTCCCATCCATGAAATGACTGCCAAAATCGACCAGTTGACACCGGCCGACATCAAGACAGTGGCCGACAAGGTCTTTGGCGCGCAGTCGGGCAACAAGCCGACGATTCTCTGCAAGGGACACGAGGATGTGGGCTCGTGGAAGGAGATCTTTGACAGATACAGTGTCAGCAGCGGATAAAATTATCACTAATGTCCTCATGTAATTCATCCCCCTCACACGTACTTGAAAAAACTAGATTACATCTGATAGCAAAAAAAATACAGAAAAGCAGATAGATGATGGTGAGTCTAGGCAGGTGCCATAAAGCTGCCTGCTTGACCGGAGCCCCGACCGATAGAATTAGCCAATGCCCTCCGTTTCTCCTCCCAAGCCTTCAGTCCCCGCAGAAGCTGCACAATCTTGTCCCGTTTGCCCTGCCGAACGTCGTTGATGCTCACACTCCCCATCCGGACCTCGTTATCCAGTAAAAAGTCGAACAGCTTGAACAGGCCGTCCAGGTTGTCATCCGTCGGGCCTTTCGGGAAAGCAGAGTCAAGCACAGGCGGCGAGTTCGGCCGCCCTTTGATGGACTCAGCAATGCGCATCAGGCCCAGTCCATCGCACAATGGGCCGGCGGTATCCATGATGCGCATATTCGACGGAAGATGCCCGTTGGCCCACTCAATCAATCCTTCGTCCACGGGGGCTGCCGCTGTCGTCTGCTGCGACAATCGCCGTGACGGCCGCGGCGGCGCAGACGACATGGGAGTCCCTGGCGCAGAGCCTGTTCCGCTCTCCGTCGTCTCGTTCGTGAAGAATGACTCCAGTCTTGTCCTTTCCTCTTTCGGCGCGGATTCTGCCGTCGCGAATCCGGTCAGCATCAACACTCGGGCATCCCGGGTAGACGGCTGGTCCGTATTCTCCCGCCTCAGTGCTCGTTGGGTGGCAGCTCGTGCCGTCGGTGACGGGGGCCGGGGAGCAGGATTCATGGTTTGCGCGACGATCAAGGGTATAGTTGGTATGTTGCACGATGACACGACCGGTTCTGGTGAGTGATCAGAACGAATCAATGACGACTTGTCGCAGCACTTACTGGAATAGTCTCGTCCGATGGTGGCCTTCATGATAGCCTTCATCCAGTCTCGCACAATCGTCTTCTCATCCGAGCTGAAGTAGTGTGTCTTGTCATGATCATGGTCGATCCTGAATCCGTATTTCCCAGGGTTAATCGTCTCGTCCACAGTAACCTTATACCCCACGATGTTCACGTAGCCCTTGATCTTGGTTTCCTAAATACACCATCAGCAGCGGAATAGAACAATACAACGCGGACGATGCTGACCGCTTTGTTGCTGCTCCTCAAACAGTACAGATCCGACCCCTTGAGCACAAAGTAGCGCAGCTTCCAGCTGTTGTACCGCTCGCTCTTCTTCCTCATCCAGCCCGAGTGGTCCGACGCACCGATCTGCTCGATGATGCTCATGCCTGGCTTGAGCTTGGTCACACCGGCAGCCGCACCCGGTTCAGCCCCGGTAGCGTTCACTTTAGTAGCAATACTTGCTGCCTTGGTACTATCCGTGGCGTGATTCGACGCAGTCCGCTTGCGCAAGAGTGTCGGCGAGCTCCCGTCTTTAGGAGAAGTCGGCTGTGGGGGAAGACCATCGGCACTGGGGGTCTGCGACGAAACGCCTCCGCCCGAAACACCGCCTCCCGGCGTTGACGGACGACCAGACTTGCGGGCCAGTCGAGGGAGCGTGAAACCGGAGCCAGCCTTGTCCGCCGGCTTCTCGGTTTTATCAGGCTTTTCCGTCTTCTCCTCATCAGCAGCACCGGAGTATCGAGGGGCAGGTTTTCGACCCAGCGTGGGACCAAACGAGGTGCCGAAGATGCTCAGTCGGTCGTTCGACTTGGCATTCCCATCATGCTCTTCTTCCCTCGGGAATGACGGACGGTCGACGCCTTCTTCTTCACGGTGCCCTTGCCAGAGTCGCTCTTGACGTCAGCAGCCGACTCGGCGTCCTTCGAGTTGACGCTTCCTTCCTTCTCAGCCTTGTCGACGTGCGTTGACGAAATGGGCGAGGCCAGCGGCGACCGTCCTCCGGTCCCAAAGAACTTTTTCTTTGAAGACGTATTGGGTGCCGGAAGCTCGCTCTATTAGTCACCGCTGAGGACTCATTCTTCATAAATAAGTAAGCGCTGTGACTCACCTCGCTCATGACCGCTCTCTCGTCCTCCTGCGTCTCCCCGTCAGCAGCTTGCGTGGCCGACACATTCAGCGCGCCATCGCTGGGCGATAGCATCAATTGAGCAGGTCGGCCCTTAGACCGACTGCCATTGATCTGATCAAGGGGAATGCCAAGCCCAATCGGGGCACCTTCTGCAGGCAGTCCGGAGACTTCACCCAATCCATGAGATACACCATAGGTTTGCGCTAAATATCCGTTCTGAAGCGGTGAGCCGACGGAGGACTGCAGACTGTGGTGTGCGTTGTATGATTTCTGGGAATGTGATTGCGACTGAGAGCGCGAGTGCCCGACGTGATGCGGCGAGCTATTGTACTGCGGCGACCCGTTGTGAGGTGCTGAGCCCGGGAATTGTTGCGAGCTCTGGGAATTTGTGTACACCATAGCATATTGTGGCATGTTCTGCTGCTGGAAATTAGGCGGCATCTGGAACGAAGCAGATGGTGACGGTGGACGCCGAAGATCGACAATGGCATTGGCAATGCGCATGCGCTTCCCAAAGGCCATGATGCCGATTTCGGTCTTCAACAGATTCACATCTAGCTCGATGAGCACATCCCCTGTGATTTCTTGCTCTGAAGAACAGAATGTCAGTCAAGGAATGTTAAACGTTAGTTATGCCGCACCAGTGAATTTGTCACACACATCCTCGTCGAAGCCCTTGCTCTTGAGCCAGTCGACAACTTCGTCAACTGTCCACTCTGACGGGTGCTTTGATGTGCTGCTAGCGCTGGCGTTCCCACTATCGTCGTGTCTCTTGCTCTCGCTCTGCGCCGAAAGAGGCGCAGAACCGACACTACTCGGCTTGGATGGGATACCGACAGCTAGACCAGCAGCGGATGTAGAAGCTAAGCTGCTGTGTTTGGAACCAACAGCAGCGGCTCCAGCGGACAAAGCTGGAGAAGGAAGTCCCGGGGAGACCATGCCGAATGTGTCGCGAGCTGGGGTGTGCATCCGCTCCGGTTCCACGGCAGCAACAACAGGGGCAACGATGGGGTCGGGGCTACGAGCTCTGGCAGAGTGGGCGACACTGGAGATACAGGGCTGGGCGGGACTTCCGTAGGCAGTTGGAATGAAGACACAGTCGCCGTCGCAGGGATGTCTTCAGCAACCCGCATGCGTCCGAGCCCATCGACGGATTCCGAAGGCTCATCCTCTTCAGGAATGTAGGGGTGATCCCGTACTGGAGAGTTAAAGTTGTCTTCGGAGAAAGTTTCTCCTCCGTCCTCGTCGTCCTCGACGTCACTCTCGTCGCTGAGCTCCACGGAGATTGGGGGGACGACGATCCGGCTCGGGCCTGCCGACAGCGCCTCAAGCTTTTCGGCCTCCGCGACCGCTTGCCGTGCTTTCTCTGCAAGCTTGCGCCGGGCTCCTTTGTGCCAGCCTTGGCCCTCGCCCTCGCTCATGTCGTAGTCCGTCTCCTCCTCTTCATCGTCTGTTGTGAGGTTATCTCGTGTGGAGGCAAAGCTGAAGGATCGAGCATCGTGATCCAGATTCATGCTGCTGTCCCTGGTGCGGCTGCCGAGCTGCTCGATGGCTTTCTGGACGTCGGTCATAGTCGCCTTCATGACCTCCCCGTTGGTATCCGCGCCATCGACCGCTTCGTCCGCTCCCTGCCCATTGAGTTGAACTTGCGGAGTATGTAAGACCGGGGATACGGAGACTGACTCCGGCTCCTCTGCGAGCGACTGGAGAGGGGCGCTGATTGTCTCAGTCGGTGCAGGAGAAATAATGGTGGACGCCGGTGTCGGCGAGGCCTCGGTCTGCGGTTCGGCAGATGTAGTGTAGCTCTGGGAAATAAACCCTCCCTCCCTGCTAGATTCCGCCCTCTCCACCATCCATCACTGTAGAGGTCGTCCTTCTCAATGACCTCAATGCGCTCGCCGATCCGAAACGATACTTCGTCCTCATGCTCCGGAGTGAAGTCGTGTAACGCATAGACGTACTCGGGCATTGCGAAAGCAAATGAGAGCACAAGCTAGCGAGGACAGAGGACCGTATCTGAGGGTATACGGGGTGAGATCGAAGTTCTGGAGAAGGGCCAGAGGTTGTACGATGTTTGATCAAAATGACACGTGCGACGCTGTGCAGATAGGAGAAAATTATCTCCGTACAAACATTTTGTCAAAAATGTTACAAATGGTTTCTGTGCTACAATCTTTTCCATTTCGAATCCCGCCGGGTGCCCAAATAAATTTCGGACTGTTCTTCGTGGCGGTCCATCCAAGCACTGATGGAGGTTGGCACGAGATTCGTCACAGCGTATCGCTGTCCTTCGTCGAGCTTCGCATCCAGAGCATCCCAAACCGTCAGCTGGGCGGATCTGTTCGCCTGCCTGCGTCGAGTGCATGCATCCTGGACAATGAGCACTCGGAAATTCCGCACTTCCCGGGGTGGGCAAATCGACTGTCACGTGTCTAGGCACACATTATCAAATGTGGTGATCACTCACCTTTAGTTCTCGCTCAATCTCTTCTGCAGCTCGTTCTCTGTCTTTGTCGAGGCGCTCAAGAATGCTTCGAGCAAGCCATCCGGCCACCTTCCCGTTGGTGCGAGCAATAACATTGGCTGCGTCCTTCGGGTTCTCGAGCTCGTCATACAATTCATCAATGTCATCCGGGGGATCTTCTGCATTACACATGTCAGACTCGACTCGCTTAGATCGCAGGGTGCCTACCACTGTCAGGCCGTGGGACATGAGGACCTGCACGACGCTCCAGCCGTTCTGCGTAGCCTTGGTACCGTGACTCTTTCTTGGACAGCTCTTCTTGCAGCCGAGCCTGCTGTATCTCTCTCTTCCTCTGCAGGGATGCAAATCAGTTGACAACAGACAGGCGATGGACTATGGACGGACGCACCATCCATTTCTCGGCAGCCTTATCTTCATCTCGCTGATTCCACGGTCCCTCTCGGTGTTTCTCCCCGTTCTCGTCTTCCCAAAATTCGAGAAATGCGATAGGATATGTCTTGGGACTCGGTCAGAAGAAAGCGAGCTTGTAGGATCCCTCACCTTGACTATGACGAGATCCATTCCAGCAATAATCCCTCCGTCACTGGACAAACTGTGCATTGTTGACACCCACGATGCATCCTGGAACCCCATCTTGGTGTGCCACGGCACCAGATGGCAAGAGTTGCCTGATAGCTCTAGTCTCATCGAGTCATATGCTTCAAGCACTTCAGATGGATCTTTGCGGTCGTTTGAAAGCTGCTCCGGTGGTCAGTTGGAGACGAAGTTCTGATCCCTGTTAACGAACCCGGGCACCCATGATTCCCAACTTGCGACCTATGGTGAGCAGTCCTCTGCGAGCAGCTCTTGCCATTGGAGCATCCACCTGTGCCCGGAGACGGTACCATCCGTCGGTGAGCTCCAGCTCAGGATGTGCAGGGATCGGTGAACCGTCTTCTGCGATGCTGGGCTGTGACCACGTGATATCCGAAATGCATAGAACCATCGGACAAGACGCAGGCGAGTCTCGAGCAGTGATACATCTCAAGGCGGGTCTAACACCTCGGTTGAGTTCACGCTCATACCTGCACTGGTTAGCTCAGTCATTCGGAGAGCAACACTCGCCTCACCGATACAATAATTGCCGCATCACTTCTGCCCAACACCACCGCTTGGTGTTGGGGCTATTTTCCCGCTCCGGATCCATACCGACCATCCCAGCGAGTTTCCATAAAACAAGCGACCAGTGGTTATCCACCCATGACCTGGTAGCCAAAGAACAACCCCGCGATAACAGTTCTGCCAATGCTGCAGTTGGACCGAGTAAAGCAGGCGATGATTCAACATGGAAAGAGTAGTACGGTGCTGTGGCCAATGTGATCTGCTTCATTTCCGAGACTACACTGCGAGTCGTTAGCAGCAACTCTGGGTAAAATAACCTTTCTCACATTCCCATGTCGTCTAGTTCTTCCTCTGTATGTGCCTGAGGTGTCAAGCCAGAAGTCAGCAACGTTTGTCGCTCGGAAGGTCGACTCAGATCGAAGTAGGATGCGCGAGTCGGGCGAGAAGGCGTCAAAGATTGGATCTTGGGTGTTTCTTTTTTCTCCAACTGCTTTCTACCAGGTTCCCCTGGCTTCATGCCTGGCTTGAAAGGAGTGATGAACGTAGGTGGCCTCGCTCTGCTACGAGGGACACTGAGGGGTGTAGCGGATACCAATGCAGCTGGACGGAGTGGAGTTTGAGGCAAGATTGTTGACGAAGTAGGAAACGAATGTTGACTGGACGCAGTGGCGAAACCTGTACGCGGAACTAAAGGTGAACTGGCGAAACCCGGTTTCGAGAGAAGGGGAGGTTTGAAGGGTTTAGTCTTCCCTTTAAATTTGCTGAGCAATGGGGATGTGAAAGCTGAAGTTGTTGAAGCAGAGGTGAATGAAGCCAATGCTCGCGACTCGCCCGGCGTCGGAGTGCCCGGGGAGTTGAACGAGTTGTCGAGGACTCTTAACGCAGGTCTCTCCGGAGACAAAAGACGAGAAACGTTGGATGCGTTAGTGAAGCTGTTCTCCACGCCTACATGGGATTCAGTGATCACAGAGGAGCTATAGCCAACCTGATCCCCAGCCCATATAGCATCGATCTTAGCTTTTGCTTTGGCGAGTGCCTCGCTCGATGGCTCCAAACGACCTTTATTTGACGCTTTAATGAATCCAATCGATGCTGAGGCAAATCTGGCCGTCTGGAACGCAGGGGGTGGCATGTCCGTCGCAGGCGCAAACCATGCGTCGTAGTCCGGCTCTGGTGGAGGAACTTCGGGGGATGAGGTCGGAGCACATTCTTCGCCCCCGTAACTTTGTTGCGCAGAGCTGAAAGCGGAGGCTGCAGAGCCAAATCCTGCTAACTTGGTAGCCGGGCGAAGCCAGAAACTGCTGTGGCAGAAAACGGATTGTCGGGGTCATCGCGGGGAGGTGGTCGTGCATCGTCACGGCCCGGGGCACTGGATGATGGTTGTGAACTATTCGTGTGAGGCGGCGTCCTCCCGAAGCTTGCGCCTTCTGTCGTCTGTAAGGGGTCGTCGGGAGCAGGTGCAGAGAGCCTGGGTCTTTTCGGCACTGGATAGTCTTGAAGCGTATTGGCTAGACAATTGTGAGAAGAGATTCCTAAATCGCAGTCTTGTACCTGAGCGGAACATTAACGATGCATGCAACTGGGCCTCTGCCAGTAGGAAATGAATAGACGGCGTATCCCAAATGTTTGTGTTGATTGGCAAATTGCACGTGATTCTCGCGCGTCTTGTCACTAGGTCACGTGACTGTGACTGCACATTAGAAACCTAGGATATAAATACATGAACAGGTATCTACTCGGCTCATTGACTGCATATATTGGGATACATGAGATTCGTCGGATCCTGAGGAATCCATCCAAATTGCAAACCCTTCTGATAACTCCACTCTTCACCGTTCCCGCTTTCTGTCTTCCAAGTCCTGGTGAACAGTGAGCCAAACAAGAGACAACTGCGGTATGGCCGCACTGACCACTGTATCCATCCTTGGCCCTTCTCGTATGATATTACTTGAGCTTCCCAGAACTGGCGCAAAAAGGTCTTGTATGATGAGCTGAATGAGGTTGCAGCTCCCGACTGTCCAGTGCAGCTACCGATACGTGTAGAGCCGGAGAAGGACCCGTCATATCTACTTCCCACTCCACGACCGTTGAGATATTTGGCGCAGTCCGTGGCAGCTGAGTGGAAGTTCAATCTCAAGTGAGTGATATACTTCACAGTGGTTTCATACCAGGCGTCCATTCTCCGGCGATAACCCAAAGATCAAACGACGAAAGCGAGATTGTTTGGCGCAAACGGTGGATATATGCTGTGATTGCGACATCGCAACTTCCTGCACAAGGTCAGGAAGGAAAGAATGTGAGAACCCAGATGTTGACTGACAGGGTTCGAGAAGATCGTGTAGATGTGGGTGTCCATTGCCACGCCTTCGTAGTTGGGGTACGTGAGAACACCATTCCAATAACTCAAAGGCTGTTGCAGTTAGAGCTATGGCAAAGTAAGCAGGCGGCTGATACGCACCTGGAAAGCATCATGGATGAGTTCCACGGTGTTGCCTGGATGTCATGAGCATGTAATTGGGTGATGGAGAAGGAGCATGCTTACTTTGCTGTGACGTTCCATATGGATATCTGGGTTTCGTGTGAAAAGACCGGAAGCAATGGAAATTACATCCAAGCGACGCACCGAATGTTACCAAAGCTATCATACCAATACTGGCGCACAACAGACAGTACATCCGCACTCACAAATCCCGCGGGCCTAGTTAATGTGAGCAATCTTGTAAGGATCTCGGCTTAGAAACCTACTCGTTGAGCGGGGCGATGATCGGAACATTCGCCGTGTTGTCGCGCACCATGCTCGCAATCGTCTTGATGATAGCATCTGTTCTTTGAACGTGGTGTTATTCGAATGCCATGTCTGAGTGGTAACAGATGAGATTATGTGGATGAGATGGCGTGATGAATGCATCGCACGGCGTGGAAACTCGATGTCCGCTATTATCGAAGCCGTTCTGGCTACCTGGGGCGCCGTGTAAATCGACAATGAGCTTGAGGCCGTGGTTTGTGGCCCAAGTTATGGCTTTGTTCAGGTACGCGAGTTGTCCTTGGATGTAAGGCTCTCCGGACCGACTTCGAATGCCCAATAGCCTATGGGAGGGCGAACGTGATTGAGGCCAGCCGCGGCTATTGCTGCGAAGTCTGACTCTAAAAGACGTTCGATAGACTTGAAAAGTAATTAACAGGACGCTAACCAGTGATCCAGGTGTTCCCAATGGTTGGTGAGGGCGGCCGAAGCTGTTGAACGACTCTGAAGCTGACAAAACGTCCATTCGTCTACGATGTTGTTATTCCCGGTGTTGTCAAACAGCGAAGGGGTGATCCATGGCTGGCGATACAAGCTCTCAGTGACTTTGGATGCGAGCCGGTGAAGAGGGCGACACGCACCTCGAGCACGAGCCAGCCACCCAGATTCACGCCGCGAACCTTCTGCGATCCGTACGGAAAGCCGGGGCTGAACGCGAGGACTGCGGGCACCAGAGATTGCAAGGAGGCGAAGAAAACGAGCCATGGCAGTG